ACCGAATAAATGGCTTGTCTAGAGATGAATGAAATCAAAGTATGTACTCTTTGTTCACCAAAGAAGCTCTGAAGATTTCAACGACCGTCCTTGAAAATCCAACTACCCTTGCGTGTTGAAACGCCATTTAAATCAACTTCATCCTTGGTGTTCAGTATCGCGTACATCGAAACATTCTACAGGGAAAAGAATTCCTTTCTTTGCTGTGTTCATTAACCCACTGAGAACCATAAACGTACCAGTACACTCTTCGACCATCAACGCCTAAGCATATTGGTACGCCATATTAAAACATGGTAGTATCTACACGAGAAGCTTAATCTCACATGATGGAAATTTTTCATCTGAAAATTCGGTAGTAATAATTTCTATCGAATTACCGTTGACCCAACTAAGGACCAACCCGTCAGTCGATTAATACGATCTTATTTCTGTCCATCTTCCTATTATCAATTTCAAGATGATCAATGATAATCTTGATCGGATGCTGCATCGAGGTGGCATTGAACAATCGCGTTGTCCACGAAGGCTTGATCGCGTGTACCGCAATTCGAAGGCATCTGTCCTGACGGAGATTCGGCAAGCCACTCGAATTCTCCGGAGACTTGGACGGACGTAGTTGGCAGGTTCAGGCAGGCAGGCAGGCAGCGCAGGCAAGAGAGGGTGGCTTGGACTTCGGTTCGGATGGCGGGTATTGATCCTAGCGAACCTAGCAGCGGGGTGGCCGGGACCCCGCCTCAAGGATGAAGGGTGTCTCCCCTTCTCTCGTCCCCTCACGCTTCAGCCTCACTGTCAGCCGGTGTTAAAGCGAAACGAAGATAGGAGGAAGCACGTGAGTGGGGTGGTTGCCCCTTAAGAGAGACGGGTGAACCACCTAGAACGCGCGGTGCACCAAAGATACCATCCCTTAGGCCTCTGTAATAAGCGGACGACCAAGTGGTCGGAAAACGAGCCGAGGGGTGAACCCGGAGACTCTGGAAAATCTCGAGAAGCCAGGTGGACCTATCGAAGCAACCTTTTCCTACGAAATACACCTTGCCCATTCTCCCTCTCTTTCGTTCGCTCGCTTTGGAGAACCGACGCGACGCGTCCGCGTTTGCCATGCACCCACACCGAATTCCTCTTGCTCTTCGGCGCTGCTGGAACGCGGCGCGTATGCTGACGAGGGAAGTCGAATCTTTTCCTTCGAATCGCTATCTTCTTTATCGATGATGATAGTCGTATCAGCCGGCTCGTGACGTCAGACTTTTTCTATGGTAACGCAGAGATATTTTCTTGTCTGCGAATGCTTCAGCCACTGAGTCACTCGCTTCGAACGCTAATTCGCCCGCATACTTTGCTGATCGTAAATAAACGCGCTTCGATCAGCGTACATTCGTGCCTACTTATCGAGTATTTTATACCATTAATTCCTCCAAAATGATGTAAATTATTGATGGACGATGAATGAAAAAAAGTGCGGATCGAAAGCGTGTTGTTCGAAGGAGGTAAGGAATCAAGCTTTCAAGCTTTCACCGAGCTACATGTTTGCAAATATTGGAGAGAAACTGTTAGGGCGGAGGGGATAAAAAGATAGTAGCGAAGTGCTGGTCACCGGTACCATCTCACGGTCGCCTTCGGGCAGAAACTTTTCGATCTTCTGCGTGCTGTGTGAACGTGGCTCAAGTACGCATGCTCCGGTACGCGAAGATGGGTTGCCACCAGCCACATCAAGTTCCAATTACCGTTTCTGGTGACGCTGGCTGAACGTATATATTGCTACCGTTATGACGACGAAGAGCTAGCATCGGTTATTCTATGATTCGTCGAACGGCAAGAAATCATGCGAAAAGATTTCAATGCTTGGCGGTTATCATCGAAGTAACCTCGTCGAAAGAAAATAATTATCAACTGCTTCGATGTTCCGCCATTTTACCTGCGAAGCGGTGGACGCAGCTGCGTTCAAAGAAACCGAGAGCATCGACGAAATTAAAACCGTCGCGAGGAACGTAGCCAGAGTCCTATCAGCGGGTATTTCCGTCTCTAGCAGATAACGAGGGAGCAGATTAAAAGAAAACGCTGAAATCGCGCGTAGCTGGTTGCATAGCCCGTTGTCGTCCCACGAGGCTAGGCCTCGTTCTTCGTCCCACGAATGAGATTTTTCGACCTGTGCCCGCAGTTGGCCGTGTAAAACGGCGAAAGGGAGTCGCAGCTGCGCATCCTTCTTGGTCGTTCTCCAGGCGGTCATGTCTGCTGGCCCCGAGTCGGAGACGCCTCGGCTTATTTCCCTCCTGTGCCAGCTGTGCGGGCAAGCCCGCACACAGGCTGCCCTGCTAAGACGAGCGTCAACGACCAGCATGAAGATAGGAAAAGACCGAGCGAATGGCTCTAACGTTACACCAACGAGGATAGAACACACGGATCCGCTCTAGCCGATGAAAAGAGAAAGACGGGAAACGTGTTCTATGTAGTAGCCATGACGAAGAGAGACGAATGGTTGTGTATCGTCGAACAGAGAACGGAGAGCATGCCCGTCGAAGTGAGAGAGAGAGGAAAGGAAAGAGGCAACCCTCGATTAGTTGATGGTGGGGTCAGGTTGCCACGGAGGTACGGAGAGGGGAGTGAGACCACCGGAAATCGGTCTGTCCTTATTTGAGAGGCCGCGTGAACCACACCGAGGCCTGGCCTTTCGTGCCTGCTTCGCCTCTTCTCTTTTCGATGGCTTCTCTTCTCTTCGGCTCCACGCGCTCGAAACAGGGACACGCAGTTGCCGAAGCAAAAACTTCTTACCGAGAACCTACGCGAAGACGTTTCCGTTAGGAGAACGCTTCTGGTACCAGGACGTCGCGTCGTCGGTTTCCGTCGAAGCTTTCTCAGAAAATCGTTTCGTCGACCCGTGAGGGGAATGAGCCTCGAGAACGCGGGGGAGATATACACTTGGTTATACGATATCGCAAAGGGGAAAGATCCTCGACGAGAAACGATGGGAAGCTGTTGCGTTGCAGGAGAACGTTTGCCCTGGAACTGGAGCATCCATGGTGTACCTTGTTCAACAGCTTCTTTTATATACTATATATTGATGAAGGAAGAAAGGTTCATTTTTACTAAAATAATATCAAATGATCGAATTTTTTTTTTTTTTTTTTTATTGAAATTGTTACACTGGAGATCTACAAATTAATCAACTTGAATATATCGTTAAAGTTAAATAAGTGGAGTAATGCAACTTACAGAGTTCAAGGTAACAAAAGCCATTAACGTCGATGCGAAGATGAATCAATGCAAACACACGATAGCGGCCAATAGAACATTTGCACTTGTACTTTATCTGACTAAAGAGATCTGCCTATCGTGCAAAGTGCGAGCTACTAATATAACAACTGAAAACCATTAATCCCACTAATACACAAAGGAACATTTATTATCTGGTATGCGTGTCTTCATTATCAAACCAAAATGGTCGACGCGGCGAACCGAGTATCACTGTGAACCGGCTGTGTCCATTTGTTGCCACTCGAGCTTTGATTCTCTTCAGACCACTTTCTATTATCTATCATTTCCACTGGTCTGATTATTTATTATGAACTACTCGAAGAATAATTTTCAAATAATTCCAAGAACTCTCTGAGAAATTCTCTAAAAAAATTATAGTTGTAGAGTATTAAAAAATAAATCTTCTTTTGATTTTTCGAATCCGAGTTAAAATATTACACGGCAGCAGGGTAATTTCCCGAGAAACGAAGCGTTGGATGAAGTATTTAAGGTGTTGCAGAGACAAGGGGTGTCGTGTGCCAACATCCCTGGGTGATTCCTCGCTCAATGCCAGATCCTCCCTTCTCTTCTTCGTCGCTTTTTCTCCGAGAGGTTCACCCTGCCGCGTCACCATCTTATACAAACAGACCCACGAAATAATCCCACGATTTTTTCAAACATCTTGAGGTCAGTTTTACTCCACAAAGAATTTCTCTTTCGCCGAATGATGTTGATGGTGAACACCGATCTCCGGTCGGTCGGTCAGTCTAGGGAATTTTCTTGTATCCAGACAATTAACCGTACTTATTGATCGTGCACTGGTAATATACAGTTTCGGTTCGGTTGCGATCGAACGGGGTCAAGTTCTCCTTCCTTTGTGCCACATATAAGATACCATGAGAACCTGATTAGCGGCATTAGGGGAGGAATAAGAGCGTCTCCGTCGAAATAAGAACGATTGCGTAGAATATTACACCCTTGGTGACACCATAGTAGGAAATCGTGCGTCATTTTGGTTCTTCGTTTCCAGTTCATTTTCGATTGATGCCATTTGAACGTTAATTGCGCGAAATATCAGGTGGGACAAGTTTAAAACGGAAAGTGAAATCAGCTGTACAACCTTCGTTTTCGAGAACAAGATTGGAATACCACGATGGAATGTCAATTGTTTTGACATACATTTTGTTTTTTCTTTGACTCTGTTTCAAGTCCTGATTACGCTTGGTCACGGAAAATTAAATTTCCTAACGCATAGAAGAAGGAACCTCATTGTTCTCCGTTACTTTACCGTTCACCAAAGTGGACTATAAAGTTTCTTTGTTTGGAAAATTTGTCTAGCTACATTTCTCATTTTCATGGTTTATCAGACCTTTAGAAAAACGAGTAAATAAGTCCAGGAAACTCTTAGTATCTGGTACCAGAAGATAATTTTGATAACAAAGTTACTGTACAGTGTGGAATTCGTATAATTACCAAGGGATTAATTAAAATAATTAAGCGTATAGGTTTTATTTTACAAAATTATCATGTACTGTTTAAAACTGCCACGTGGCCGGTGTGTTCTAAGAAGACGATTGCGCATTCGGGGAGTTCGATCGAAGGCTCCATCGCGAATGCTCCTTGCTGCAATCGAACCTCCTCCGTTTCGACTATTTTTAGAAATGCTCTTCTATAGGACGTTAAGTCTCGCGAAGGAGCCCTTTCGTAACCAAGCGAAACGTTATGCAATTTTCTATCACGATCCTGGCAGCATCTAATAATTCAAATTATTCGATACGCCAGGACATAGATTATTTGTTGAAGGAAACGGCTAGGGTAGACATTTTTCTGGTATTGTTGAAGGCAAGATCTGCGACAATTCTCTTAACGCGTGTTTGCCTGGATTACAATAGTCAGCGGCGGGTTGAGCGTGTTCTCTGGCAGACAAAGCGAGAACCGTTCGTGGGGATGAAGAGAAAAAGAGCGCGTAACCTAACGCCCTGCGAGGACCAGGTCGAGGAAGAGCGCAACGTGGCTAAAGGAGAAGAAGGCAAGGGTCGGTCGCGAGGGGTGGCAAGGAGAGAGGAGAGATCGGTAGCGGTTGGTTATACCGGATAACAGAGGCGAGGAGGACCGCGTGGTTCGAGGGGTGGCGAACCCCTGAAGGACCCTAGTCGGTAGCGGTGACCTCCTCCCTCTTTTTCCCTGTCTCCCTGGTCTCTCTTCCTTTCCAACCCTGCCCCCTCCACGATGCTCGTCATCCCTGCCGCGACGGCACCGGAGCACGATCATTGGTTCACCGGTTTCACGCAGACACGAGGAGGCACACGCAGCTGCCACTAGCTGTCTCTTGTTCCACGGCCGGACCCGATCGGCCAGTCCGGAGGAGAAGCAGCGCGCGTGCAGTAGTTAGGCACGTTGTCACGCGTAATATACATTTTAGATTTTCTATAAACACAGTTTGTTTATTATACGCGTGGTGGTTCCCATTTCATCGATACATCGTACGGGACCTTCTTCCGGAAGAACGAACGTTTCCGTTTCCTATCTTCCGTTGCGTTGCTTGCAAGAAGACGACGCGGCTGCCCCTTGGTGATCTCTCGTGACTACCACGAGTCGTGCGTACGAAGTTCGGCGATTTTCGTGTACGTTCGTCGGCTATCGTCGTTCAGCCACCGTCATTCGTCGCCATCTTGACGGTCCGCCCACCAATCAACGTCACGATCACGGTAGCGCTGATCGTCAGACGAACGGAGAAAGGTACACGAAGCGACACCTTTCGCCGACAACGCGGACCCGTCTCTCGCACGTGTCGCGGAAAAAGACGTGTGCGGTACACGCGTTTCTAACCCGTGTTGCAGTTGCTCTTTCTCTCTAATTTACAACCCCCCTCCGGCGTTCTCGTGTTGGTGGACGGTCGATTTATACGTGACGCGCGACCGCGTGTGCGTGTGACGTTTTGAATTTTAGTCGAGCGAGGAAGTGGTGGCGTCTGCCGGGAGGCCCACGCATACATCGTTTTTCGGTACACCGCCGTCTGTGCTTCCCTTCTCCCTCCAGCTGTCGCTTGACTCGCTGTCTCTTTTACTCTTTGCTCCTCCAGTCCCCTTCTACGTCGCTAGCCACAGTTCGCAGGGCGTCGCACGCAGGGCGGTACCGATGCCCTTTCGACCTCCCGCGGTCATCGAGAGTACGCAAGAGTGCTTCCGTCGCGCGACCGTCTCGTTCTCGATTCTCACGTTCCGTGACGGCGTTGCTACATCTACGCTCGCCAGTTCTCTTCTCTGCCCGTAATGGTAGTCCTTTGAGAACGCCTTCGCCTCGTTCTTCCTCTGTCTCAACCACGACGCACGTGTATCGCTTGGAAAGAAAACATCGGAAAGGATCTGAAAGAAGGCGATCGAATAACTGGAAGATCTAACGTTCGCCGCGCGCCTCCCTCTTTCTCTCTCTCTCTCTCTGCGTCCGTATACACCCACGTGCGCCTGTTTGGAATATTCAAGTGTCACCGAATCCTGGCAAACCGAGCCGCCCGGCAAAACGCATCTAGTCACGCGTTCGCTACCAAAGTAAACGAAGCTCGCGCTGACTATCGCGACCTTCAACGACGTCGACGACGACGACGAAGCAGTGGTAAAAGGAGATTCAAATATCGTCTATACTAAAGAAAAGAAAAAAGCAAGAAACGACTTTGTGTTGTGATCGTACACCGCTGCTTACCGACTCGACATAGCCAGAAAAGAAACAAAGGATCGCTACGAAAACGCACGCTTACGCATCCAAAGAACAATTCTCGTATCTTGTCAACGATGAACAAGGTCGGTGCGCAAATGATGGCATTGTGAAAATGGATCGCCGATGATATAGAATTTCCAACAGTATCGTCGAGGATGTCGTAGAGACATTATCGCGTGTCGTCAGCTTAAGTGTGTGCCTGTGTATTTTGTGTGTGTGTGAAACGTGTGCGTGCGTGCACTCGATACGAAAAGGAGACAAGGAATTAAGAGGTTAGGATGCCGCAGTGCGCCGTGGCTACATGCCGCAACAGTCATCGTCGGACCCGCGGTCGTCGTATCCGCTACCATCGATTCCCCCAGATACCGGAAGTGCGCTCACGATGGGTGCGCGCGTGCGGTCGCGTGCCCCTCTCGAACGGCGAGATACCGTTCAACATACAAACCGCTCGCATATGCTCCCTCCACTTCACCAACGATTCTTACGAGAAGGATATGGAGCATCTTGTGCTCGGTCTTCCTGTGCGCAGTAGGCTGCGTCGTGGCGCCGTACCGACGATCGGCGTGCCGGTGAACGTGCAGCCGGTCACCAAGATGCTGGTCGAGGACGCGAAACGCTCCCTCCTCAAGGTCACCCATGCTAAAATGCTAACCGGCCAGAAAGTGACCGGCAGCAACGATCTGGCCGACAGTAAGCAGCAGCACCATCAGCCGGCCACGGAAAGACGCCAGCAGCACCAGCACCAACACCAACAACGTGCCAAGAGTGGCAATCAAGTGAACCAGGAACAAAAGATGGCGGGCATCGACGTGCTGCTTGCCCTCGGTCTTAAACCCGCGCCACGGTGAGTCGTTTATACTCGCTCGGAACGATTACGTTCTTGATAAGGAACTCGAGGACGAATCTGGTACCGGAAACGATAAGACATTCTATATTTCATTATCTTTCAATTCTTTATTTAACGCGTTATCGCAATGCTTGGAAAATAATTTTCTATAAGATTTAAAATGGAATAATCTCTTTTTGAAACTTTGAACTTAAAATTTGAAAATTTATTACATACGGTTGATTCGATTATCTCGTATCACTGGTTTCTTTTTTTTTTTTTATTTTTTTTTTATTCATCGGAAGGTATCGTCAGTAGTAGTATGTTAATTAATTATACCGATAAACGTTAACTGGCTCGTTTAATGTGAAATTATTCACAATTGCGACGTTCGGTTAGCGTAGCAACCACGAAGACCTTTAGCGCGACCTCTGGTAGGAACGGCGCATTGATCCACAATCACGGATCACTCGAAACTCTCGCCTGGGTTTCTCCTGGTGTGCGCGCAACAGAAACTATAGTATCCATGTAGAAACTCGTTAACTCGAGTTTCCACGATTTCTTCTGGGAACCTTTAGTTTCAAAGTCAAATGCAGATACGTTTCAAGGTCACGCGTTGCAGCGACCTTGTAACGTCAAATAAAAACAATCCCGCGGAAGTGTTGTATTTTCACTGACGGTACATCTGATGGGGCAAGTTTTACGATGAATTCAAACGGTAAGATAGAAATTGACGAGGCATAATGAGCAGGAAGATCGTTACATAATTTTTGACGTGCATAAAATGGCTATTAAACGATTACTGTTAGTAAGGTCTCGTTAATTTTTCTGCGGTAACGTGATTCAGTCGCGAGCCTGTTACCTATCGCACCCAAGGTAACTATTATACAAATCCATTATTAATTTTTTCTCTTTGAACATTCGTTTGATGTTGTATTTCACTTACAGTCAGATGAAGTTTCGCTTTTCTTTTTTCTCTTTTTTTTTGTTTTTTTTTTTTTTTTTTTTTTTTTTTATCTGGAACAAAGGTCAAACAGCGATTAATATCATTAATTCCTGAAGTGTTACAATTGTAAGAGTTGAACGCGCGTTATCTGCGCTCAAGCGTGAAGATGGAAGTACAATATACGCAATGCTTGGCTAGTTCGTGCGAGTTCGTGCTGGAGAACGCTTCTTTGATGCGGAGGAACGTCTTTCCACGAACGCTCTGTCGGTCTACCGTGCCGGATCGACCAATAAAATTCTGTCTCTTTATCTACCGTGACACACGTGCAGATAATGCTTCTTCAACGTCTGCTTTACTTTTCGAAATTCTCCTCTAACGCCTCTTACCCCCTGAAATTATATTTTCCAGGGGTTCAGACGTTTCGCCATTGATAAAAGTACTTTATTTTTGTAAGCAGATAACGTCTATCTGTTTAAACCTTTTTATCCCGTCATTTAAACCTGTGTTTTTTCTCGTTCAAACACCTGGCGTGTAGTTAATCTGAAAGCTGAAGAGTAAGAAAAACAGAGAATCGAGGCTGAGAAACGTTATGACACAGGTCACGAGCCAAAATAACGATAGGTGTCAATATTTCTAGGGCCTTACGTGAAACGTTCTAATTTATTTCACCGTAAAACGTGTTCATGTATACACCGGGAGAAGAATATATCTACTGGTTTACGTAAAACTATTCACAAATCTGATACCATCAAGGACGCGTATCTGTTCTTTCCTCCTCAGAGTCGAGTTATATCTTTCGTCTCGACTTTATTTGGCCTAGTAATTTCTGAACCCGTTCACAATAAAGCAGAGAGTTTAATTAAACGAACAATGTAACTGTTCAATTTTTTACTCTCTATTGAGGTATCACCGAAATGTTGCAAGAGAAAAAAAATTTAACACCGTGGATAATGGTTAATTAACGCCTGCATTACGCAATTCTAGGTAGGACTTAAAAAGAAAAAGGGTATCATCGAGGTTCTCTAAAAGAAATTTCATAATATTTGAAATAGCAAAGGAATCGATGAAAATATAAAAAAATTATCCTAAAATTCGCCTTAACCGAATACTCGTGTCCCTGTGTGTTAGTCCTTGAAAGCTGGATGACCCGGTAAAATTACGCGTTAACATGTCGAAAATCGGTCGGCTGGAAAAAACGAGAAAACGATCGGTGACGACCCGCGACCATCTTTGGTGCACAAACAGCCGACCAGGGTCGTCTCCGCGACGGCGATTTGACCTACGGACGACCTCGGGCCGAGAATCGACCGTCCTCCTTTCGTCATTCCACCTCGTGATACATCGTCGTTTCTCGTAGAACGCCGCATGATCTTATGTGGAAAAAAGCGCAGAACCGGGGACGAGTTTCTCGGATCGTCTACGCGTCCTTGACGGTGCAAGGTTCGCTTGGAGAACACCATTTGCATCGTGGTTCCCTCGAAGGGAACACGTGACTGGTTTCGGGAATTCCAATGCGGTCGCAACGATCTTTATTACGTACCATCTCTTTTTTCTTAAATTAAACACTGCTTTCTCTCTCACGCCTTTCGATACTGCATTTTGCAATTTCACGGGTACGCGTTATTAACGATCCTTCGATCGTTATCTGAACGCTGGTATTTTTGGTACGTTCACTGTATTATCGCTCGAAAGCGATAACAATTTGTTTTACGACAAGGTAATACCGATACCCCCTCAGCAATTTCATTGTTCACGTTCAGTATCGAAAATCGTACGCTTTTCTAGGATAAATGGTGATTTCTTTATCGAAGCTTTGCAATCGGTTAAAAGTAGCAGCGTTATAGATCATTGGAAATAATCAATGATCACCGATATTCATGAACGACCGGATTCTTTTTCTTCTAGCCTGTATCTATCGATTTATCGTGTCACCGAGGTCGACGTAAGGTGAGCGTCGAGCTGCTATTTGCAGAGCGATAATGAAAAATCGAATGAAAATCCGAGGGATCGTGTACCAAATATCGTTCGAACTAAACGTAACCCAATTCAACCTCTGACCGATGCGGCAATATTCAAGAAAGGTCTTCGGGGTCAGGGACGAAACGACCGGATCGTTTCTGGCAGATGCATCTAGCCTTGTCGAGTATCTCCTGAAATTCGAGCCGCGTTGTCATTTTCGTACATCTCTGCTATAGTTCCTTGCGACTCTTCGATATCCGACAAAGTTTGCGTTAAGAAATAATCATGCATATCTTGCAGAGTTATTTCAATGATCTGTAATTTCTGTTTAAAGAAATTGCAACTGAGATTATGAAGAGAGTGCTTTCTTTTCAGCGGCTCATTAGTTGAAAGAATAAGCTGGTTCATTTAAGGGTAACGATGATCCTTGTAAGGTGGCTAGCTTCGAGAAGAAAACTTCAACCTGCTCGCGGTTCACCAACGCGCTCGAGAACGTCCTTGGCGCTCAGGGACAGCTCGAGCAGGCGAGAACGCTCCTCCGATCGTCAGCGTCCGCGAATTAGGTCGAGAGGAACGCGAGCGGGGCGGGAGAGCACGTTCTCTCGTAACCATTCGATGTCAATAATAATAGCGCCAGTCTAACTGGCATAGAGGTTTCCTTCTTCGCCTTTTTACCCTCCTGGCATTTCGTGGACCGACTCGCATTTACCGGAAATTCGAGGAATTTTAGATACCATCTGTCGACCCTCAGGTAGAGATCTCTTTAGGGAACCCGGAGATTCTCTCTTGAAAATTTATCCTTAACTAAGAGAAGTCTATATTGCACCCCAGTGTACTGTTTAATATACTGAATTTAATTATTAATTAAATACTCGTATTATTTTATTTTTATGACCTAACTGTAAGGTTTTAAAATATAAGAAGTGGTGAACGGTTTTAGGAACAACCAAGGTCGAAATTCTCCCTTCTCTTCTTTTTTCCCTAGCACGAAAACCTTTCTGACGTGCCCGAGTGAGAAAGAAGAGTCTCCCTAACCATTCGATGTCAATAATAATAGCTCGAGACTTCGACCGTGCAGAGGTTTCCTTCTTCGTGCTCTTCCCTCACTTAGGTCGCGAAGTCGGCCTTTCTGACGTGTCTTTCCGTGGACGGCTGTGAGTTGCTAACGTCGACCTCTGCTCTCTCATTATTCCAATTTACAATTTTAAAGTACATTCTATTTTCGTGTATTCAAATGATCTCCTTTACTAAATTATTGCGTATTGTTTCCAAAATTCTTTACCTTGTTACGTAGTTTCTTATAACCATTGCAATTGCTGTATTTCATTCATGATATGTGTCTTCATGGATGGAGGTAGGTAGGTAGGTGGGTGAACCAACGTGTCTTTTTCTCAAGTTACATTTATTATGTTTCTCATGATAACGAAACCATAAATTATCAACGTTACGCATGTATTAATGCAAACATTTTAATTGATTGTGCGAATGGGATTATAACAGCAACAATCTGAAGTAAAACATAGAAGCCTAGTAGAGGACAGTAGGAGGAGACGGAGGACGAAAGCGCGCGTTCGCTTGCGAAGAAGAAGTAGGACGCCGCTGCAAGGTCCCTTGGCAAGCGTTTAACCTAACCTAACCTAGCCCAATCTAGGCGCGGACGCACACGCGCGCGCTTCTATCTGCTCGCCCCCCTCGGGCCACCGCATTAACCGCGGCAACCCCACCTAAGCCGGTCGACCTGCTGCACTCCGCTCTCTCCCTCTCGCCATCTCTCTTTCTCCATCGTTATATCTGTATGTTTCTATTAGTTGTCCTCGTCGTTTGGACTTGTACTCGTACTCCACGGTATTCGTGGTACTCGCACGCCTCGTAGTCGGTTAAACGTCCTTCGTCTAACTGTAAATGCGCGAAAACAGGCTCCGCGTTCGAGGAGTGTGTACAACTCTAGCGGTTCTCTCGCACGGTCATAGAACTTTCGTTCGTAGTTTGCTTTCGAAGCTCATGAGAAAACGATGGGTAGGATTACGCGATTTCATTTACCGGCCCGGTCACCGTACCTCATTAGTTTCCCGAACAATTTTCTTTTTCATTTCATCTATCGTTAGACGAACGACCTTCCGTGACCTTTGCCGACTCGCTGTAAAGGGATCATGGATATTACAATAGTGAGAGTGGCAAGTGCCTAGTTTCTTGAGTAAAGACGCGAAGCGCGAACAATTGGTCCCCGATCGGCTCCGATCGACTACGTCCGGCTATCTCCGGGGTGGAGGAGCCGAAGAAAGAAAGGATCGTCGTGACCGGCTCGCGGCAGCGCTCGGTGAAAAGTGCAAGTGGAGTGTAAACGGTGCATGCGACGTGCGCTCATGCAACTCAGTTCCTGTGTCAACAGTTTCTCCATTTTATTTTCGCGGGTGCACGTTGCTCCATTCCTATCGTAACATTTCAGTCAAAAGGACACCGGTTTCGCGAACATGTAATCTGCCGTTGAAGTTCTCTGACACGTAGGACCAATGTACGTAGGTTACAGACGGAACTCTAATTTATGTATAGGTTAGGGAACGCAACGCTGTCTTCTGTGTGACAGTTGATTGAACGTTTCAGGAACTTGGTTTTACGCGCTCCACTTTCTATTACAAAGTAAAAATGGTTGTTTTCTGTTCTTTTAGATTCTGCTCGTGAAAGTCCCTAAGTATGTATCTTATGATAGATATAATAGAAAGAAGTATTAGTTGTGTCAAGTTATTTAAAGAAAATTTTGATGTTCTTGTTGTATCACGGGTCTGTCTCTTCTCTGCGAAATGGGGCGAAGTAACTTTAGAGCAGCTTCTAATATCTGCAGCAAAATCACGTATTCCGTTGAACTTTGACTAAAAATATTTTACGATCGGCTTCGATACCATGCCCGTTTGAGAGATGGTTCATTAACCTCGCTGGTTTCTGTAAATCTATAACATATAAGGTAGTCTAGTGACCTCGATAATAGGATCGATATTAATCCTATCGTTGTTCCTTCATGTGTATCACGTGGTACAAGTGTTAACCCTACAACGTGTACCGTTATGTTATACGTTCGTTACGTTCAATTAACATGGAAATTAGTGTTATTAATTACAAAGACATAGTTATTAATGTCCTGGTTTCTTTTTTTACATTCTAACGCGTGTTCGTTCTTCCACTGGATTTTATTGTAGTTACCGTTTACTGGAAGGTTTCGCTTTCTCCTTCGCTTTCGCTATCGCTAAACAACTTTACTGTTCTTTCGTGCGAATAAGGAAAGCGTGAAAGGTAGAATATTGCCTCATTTCTATTATATTGTTGCTTTACAACTAACTTTTGACAGTTCAAAAGAGTTCTATGCACTAAATGTTGGTAACCATAAAAATTACAATAACGCAAAGTAAGTAAGGTATAGAGTGTCGATTTTTTTTTATTTTTAATTTTCGATGAAACGAAGAGTTTATACGAAATTTATGGTATTGTTTCTTGGTTTGATGTTAAATTTTATCTGATTTTTGGCGGATCAGGGAATACTGAAAACAAAAGTCGATACGTCCGGTAACCACCTGTTACATTCTGTTTAGAAAAAAATAGTAAAATATGTGTCATGTGTCTATGCAGATATGAGAGTGCACTTTTACCGATGCTGCCATTTTACCGACAGTCAGCAAATCCAAACTAATTATTATGCTACATTAAAAAAAATCGTAATAATAATTAAATGTTTTCTTATTAATTACAATCTCTCTGTTAAAACAAAAATTTAGTAGTAATTACTTGGTACGAATAATATGCACTAACTTAAAAGACATAACTACACTTAGTCACGTCTGATTCATACGGTTAAAAATAAAGGTACATATCGGTTGTTTCTTTGAATTTATTACATTTTTAATTATTTCTATCTGTTTCTTTGAATTTTATCTATATTTTAAAAGAGATATAAAAGAACCACAATCGCTCCGTTAGTAAAAAAAGTTGAGCCAATAGTATCATACGAGACGATTAAAATAACTAGAATTAGCTGTAATCCTTTTATTCCGATCGAAAGCATCGAGAAGACTCGAGGAAGAGTTCGAGGGCTTTTCAGAATTGGTACCGCGAAACCTATATCCGCGTCTATAAAGTGCAGTGAACGCGAGCGGGTGCAACGAACTTCGTTTCCCTCCTCTTTTGTCCTCTCTTTCTATCGTCGCTCTCCCTTCCTCCTCTGCAATTTCCCCTTCTCTGTTTCTTCTCTTCTGAGCGACCGCGTCCGTACAGCGTCTCTCGTAGTAAACCGAGACACAGGCGTAGGCCTCGAATTTCATCTGATTCTTTCCTATTATAATATTCGAATCCACTTCAAATTACACGCGATATCGCGTGATCGATCGTCGATGCTAAATATCTGATCACGCGATATCAAGCGTTGATTGACACGCTTCTTGGACTTGGGAGAAAAGGTGTTTATGATACTATAATGGAGTATTAGTCAACTAATATTTCAGTTTCTTTATTATAACAATTTTCGTTGGTGATTAGGTAGTATTTCGAACGATATGTGGATGGTTCTGTGGAGGAGCTGTGTTGCAAGTAAGTAGGCAGTGGAGCGGATGGGAGGCGCGAAAGCGTTAACCCCACTGTGTGGTCACCTTCTATTCTAGTGCGCGTGCTGTTAGCGTGCCTCTTGCTGAGGGTGAACCTTGCGAAGACCGTAGTGTGGGTGGGTCATCTTCGTCGCGGGAGTAACCCCACGTTCGACGCGTTCATCCGTGTCCTATCGATCCAAGAAAGGATCAGATGCTGGGATCCATTTAGCTGATGACTAGGGATCGAAAGTTATTAATCTTGGGGTATTGGGGTACTTTATTTTTTCAGCTTGGTAAATTAATAATTAGTATAATTTAATATAATATACCCGTGATAAATAATATGCAATATGACCAATACTTTTCTGACCCAGTGTACATAATTATACACATTAACCCTTCGGACGGCGGACCATGAAGAGAGGCCCGATTTTAATATAATTTCGTATTTCATATTATTTTCATTTTCTAAATTTGATACCGTTCCTGTAAAAGTTATTCTTCTAATACATGAAACTCTTGTATTTGAAAGTAATAAATTTAACTTTAGGTTAATATCCTTGTATATATTTTATAAGGTTCCGCTGTTCGAGGGTTCTTTTTGTCAAGTTAAAAGAAATACAAGTAGAGCCTAAGTTCTATATATTCCCAGTGTATTCGTCGCAGTTAATTAAGAGTCCTTTATGCAACACGTCTAATTACACCGTGGCTTCAGACGCCCGGCGACATAAAAATTTCCACTGGCAATGCCATGAAGACAAGACAGACACACATACCAACAGTTTTTTATTATTTTTTCATCGTACGTCCTTGAGAACGATGACAACTATTTTTCTAAGCAAGGTCAGAACAAACTTTGCAAGCAAACACTTTATCGGTTTATCATTGTAACCGCTGGAAAGCGAATGTTTTTCTGTCTGACTAATCTTTCAACAATCGGTCACACAATAATATATTTTTTGAAATTAAAATTGGAAATCTTACGCAGCAACGATACTCTATGCTAATCGCACTTACAATTTTTCTTTTTTAATTTTCTTCTATTAATTATCATGGAGAGAATTAATGAACGCGACATTTTGCAATATTAAATAAGCGTTGTGCAGAGTAGCACAAGGACAACGGCATAAAATATCCGAAGGACACAGGAAATGCTTATTCACCAGGGGGGGAAATGTGTTTGCTTGCAGTTTGAACAAGATGCACGCGATGGAAGGTGCCGCTGGAAACGGGAAGAAGGTGGACTCGGCCGAGAAGACGAGGGAGGACGATACGTTGTCGAGGGCCTCGCCGAAAGTTCCTCAGAACCAACAGAATGGAGCGGCACTTCCGGAGGAGACCGCGGCCGCTCCGACGACCGTCGAGTGTCTCCGATCCGCGTCGATAAAGAAGGAACCTCAGTGCGACTCGGAACCGGAAGCCACGGCCAAGAGCCTCTCGTCCACGGATACGGTGCAACAGAAAAGCGTGGCCTCGCGTTGCGTGAAATCAGAAACGGAAGGTAGCAGGAAACGGAAGTCAACGGACGGTCAGTTGTCGTCGAACGGCAATTCTGCACCGAAGAAGTTCTGTCTAGAGCAGAGGGAACAGTACATCTCGTCGTTGGTCGGTTGCGAAAAAGTCACCGCGGATGAACTCGCGGCGAGGGCTGATCAATTACGAGCGGAAGTGCAGGTAAACTGAAATTCGTTAAATTCAAATATGAAAAGAAAAAAATATTGTTTCTATTAAAAAATAAATTTTATTTAATATATAGGCCTTGGATGAATTAGCGCGTGCCAAAGAAATGGAATGGAACGAGATCCTGAGCATGAGAAAGCTGAAGGAGGAAGCGTACCTGAGAATCGAAAGAAGACGACAAGTTATGGGATTCATGGAAGGTAACGGACAATTAGCGGACACTTTACCACCGGCGAGTTTAGCGCTTGGCCCAGAATGGGAAAGTAGCGGTAACACAACTCCTTTGTCCAAAGAAAAAATAAGTTTCGGATCGAAAGACGATTTACCCGAAGACAGTTCACAAGATTCGCCGGCATTTAAGAAAGAGAAGAGTAGCAAGCAATCATCTCAGCGTCAATCGACACCTCCCAAGCAAGGAGGTGAAAATGGCCGGAAACAGGTGGAAGCGCTTAGCCCAGAAAACAGACAAATTGGCGAAGGTCGTCAAGGTGCCATCGTTGATGTTAGATCCATCATCGCTGATTATAGACTTAGGCATCCTGAAGCAGTTCCACGCAGGTAATTACTGATGACAGTATCAGTAAATACAAGGTGTTTCATAACATCTGGAATCCATTTCAACAATAGACTGAGGTCATAGTAACGATAACAAAAATTCTCATTGAGTTTTATTTTACAAAGTGGATTGTTCAGTATTTTAACATAACGATACAAAGTTTGATTTATAATTAATTGTAAGTCTTTAAATGATACGCAGGGGTAGGAGAATGAGAAACTCGGTGAACGTTGGCTTAGGAGCTGGTGGAGCTATGGTAGAAACTGGGCACAGCGTTGATTCAAGGCCATCTAGCACAGATTCTTGTAAAAGTAACTCGAACACGGTTGATCCTAACAATTCCATAAGCTTTAAGGACGTGCTCGTGCAGTATGCGAAATTCAGCCAACAGCAAGGTATACTTGAAAGAATTAAATAGAATACTAGCTTTCAAAGACAACTGTCCTGTCGCAAGGCTATAGTAAATGTGATGATTATTAACATTTGAAATGTTTGAATGTATCAGGTGAGCCTGTAAAAACGCCTCAAAATTATCCGGATGTGACGCTTCATCCTGTTGCGCCGTCACCGGCACCTCAAAATACTCTACCTCAACAGAGTGGTTCGTTGCTTCATGGAATTCTCACGAAATCACAATCTCCAAGACCCACTACTTTTTCACCTACTTTAGCTAGATTACTCACCGCACCTGAAAGAGAAAGGAATGCACCAACAGCCGCGACCATGCCACAACAAAGTGCGGCAACCCAGCACCTTTTGCAGACATATCAAGGCTCTAATCCGGTTTCCATCAGTGACCTCCTATCTTCTTCCAAGGTATTTCATTCTCCCATTCTCATCATAATAATACTTTCTATCGATAGTACTAACGATTATAAATTTCTAGGCTCGAACTGAAATAACAATAACACCGGTCATTAACACTCCGGTTCAATCTCATGTGGTAAGCAATTTATTCATAAATTTGTTTTTATGATACACAGACCTGATAAGGTGTCAACGTTTGAGTAGATACTAACTTTGTCATTTTGTAGGAGGACGTTGAAGAAGAATCAGCAGTGATCGAGGATAGAGAGACTCGCATTTCTTCAGGTGGTAGAGACGCCAGAGAGGATAGAGATAGTCCTCCGCGATGCCAAGGTTGTCACGAACGTGTAGCGCAATTTGTGTGTGCAGGCTGTGGTCACCAGTGGTATTGCAGCCGCGAATGTCAAGTAAAGATGCTAATTAATTATTCTATTACATTTTTAACAGACAGATACTGTTAAATATATTAACCCATTAGTTGTATATCGTTACTTAAATAAATTTGTATTTTAGGTTGCCGCTTGGGACGAACATTCAGAAGTGTGTTCCGGCTAAGAAGGCGAGACCGTATTAATCTAAACCTCGTACTCCTGGTGTATCGGGTTAAATAACCTATTCAACTAAGAATGAATCTAGTCAAAAAAAGAATGGCCAAGAATATAACGCGTATTGAGTACGATAAGAAAGGAAGGAGAAACATTAAGAGAGAAGTGTATATTTTTAAGGACCTCTACAAATATGTTTGATCTGTAAAGAATAAGTTTTATTTCGTAAAAGAAGAAGCGTCAAGTTTCATAGCGCTTTTTCATAATAAAATGAGTATTTACAAGACGAACGAAAAACATGAGACTTTCAGACACTTCGATGAGAATATAGGATTCGAAATGATCGTTGGCTTAAATGTAATATCACCGCGTTGCTTTTATTCGTTACAAATTTAACGATCGAGAAAGAAGCGAGCGCGAGAGAGAGAGTCTTAATGAGACAAAATAGAAGAGTATTAACCCTGCTGAAATTACGCATTTAACGTGTATCTTCCAAAGGACAAATTGTCCGAGGGATTCCTACTGTAATAGGAATTTATGTTTGGTATAAACTTCATGTATCAGATACCTTTTTTTAGATTTCAAATAATGCATGTCATACAACGTACGCTAGTCGAGAAATTTCCCAACTTTTTTTCAAACAGAAAAGAATACCAGAAATAGCTGGTAACGTGCGCTTATAAAACGAAGAACGAAGCACAAAACTGTATCTCTCGTGATGCTGTACATAATTTTATACATGCTAGCAGGGTTCTTCAGCGTCAGATTTTTCAAAAAGTTGGTTAACCGTGTGCCATGCATAAAATTCATTTCGTCATCAGCTTTGTATGTTAAACAAATCTCTAAGTTGTATATTATTTGAGTGTTTTTTATAATCCTATAATTTTCGTATTTCCTTCTTCTTTTCATTTTGTAAATGAAACCCGTATTCGTTTTGATTAAACGAATTCGCATTTGACGAGCAAAGTGCGAGATACACACGGATATTCAGCCTTTCACAAATGTTCTTTTTCTTTTGTCATTCTGTTGGTGTTACAGAAACACGTAAATTACATACCGAATACCATATTTTATACCACATTTGTTACCAATGTATAAATTTTAGATTTAATGAGAAACATTAGCCTTAGTATAGATTTAAGCTACTTCATTTTTCTTTCTTCGTTCGCAACTTGTTCGTTGGTAACGTTATTCGACACGTTCTCTAAGTTCAATTGTTCTTATATTTTTGTTTCTCTTAAATTAATCATGTTACCTAAACGACAATTGTCCCAGACATAATCTGTAGTCCAAAGTTCCTACAGGTACACGCAACATTATATATATTTTTCCCAATTATGAAGCAAACCAAAATAAAGTTTTTAATCGTATTTTAATGAATTTTTATTGATCATGTGATATACACATTAATTGCTATTGAATTTTAATCATCTTTTTATTTCTTACTAGTAAAGGAAATAAATTATCCACTTAATTTATTATAACATTAAACAATATTATAATTTTAATAAATTAATTGATTAAAAGTGCATCTAAAATAATAAATTGTGCTAGTAGAATGCGCAAAGAGGTTGCACGATTCCGCGCATGCGTAAAGAGGTTGCACGATTCCGCGCGTGCGTGAAAAGGTTGCGCGATTCCGCGCATGCGTAAAGAGGTTGCATGATTCCGCGCATGCGCAAAAGTTCTCACGTAAATGCGCAGTACAGAAATTGCATAGGACATACAATAATCGTTAATTACACGTTTGTTGTTATTAAAAACGGAACTTTCATAATTTATTCTTGAAAAGCAATGCCTCAAGAATTTTCTATTTGCGTATATTTTCCTCTTGTGTACATTTTACTTGTAATTACTGAGTAATTAATGATTGTTGTAACAATTGTGTATTCACTGAACTCATAAAATACCCATTGAATTTTCATTAATTGTACGGTACATAGCAACAATTTATAACACTTTATAATTGTATCGTAAAGAGAAAGGTTCAAACTACGTCCTTTAATGGTTTATAGTAACATTTAATTTGTTAGTAGCAAATAAATATTGATTATTCTAACCATAATATCACCCCGTACCGACGTATGGATATTCCCGCATTTTTATTAATTTCTCAAGTTTAAGGATTATTCTGTGAACTTTTATAATTATATTAGAGAGAGTAAGCTTTACGCAGTTTTCTCATACCAATTTTACAGAATTTATGCCATCTTAGCTCTCGGAACTTGCATCCGATAGCTAGAGAACATGAAAGTAGTAGAGCTATACTATGTACATGCAGGGGAAAATCATTAATAATTCATTTTCTAGCAATGCTCATAGCACCTTTCATATACAGATTTTGTAAGAAACCAGCCAGTAATTAATTAATTATAACAATGGGAAGATCAACTGCTCAATGTACCTTTATTTCGTGTAGAGATTTTTCATAATTTTCTGCTTACCGGTGATTAATTTCCGTATTTCAATGATCAAAGAATAAAGAACTGAGTCGTAGCCTTCTTCTAGTGTAAGTTTTATGAACCTCCTACCAGTATTTAATAAGTTATTAACAATTTTTGGAATGATCATTTCTTTAAGTTCAAGCCGCTGTTCCTATAGTTGGTCATAATTAATTAACTACTGGCTGGATCCTTACAAGACTTATATGTGAAAGTAGTTACAAGCGTGTAGTTTAATAATCAGTCATAAAAGTGCATAAAATATTCCTATAAAATGAGTTATTAATGATTTTTCCCTGCACGTGCATAGCATACCTCTTGGCATACCTACTTCTTTTCCTGTTCTCCTATTAGAAATAGTTAGATCGAATCCCATCCGCTAGATGGCGCTAATCAAACTGTTTTACGAGCGCGAAATACAATTGTCAATATTTGATATAGAATTATAATCACATAAGTTTGTAGAATTTAAATTTGCAAATAACTCTAGTGTTAATGTAGCAAGATATTTATAAAAACTATGTACTACAATGTATAGACGTGTATGTTTAGAAATTTGCCCTATGTCTAAACATAACAACGATCTTTGAAAGACGTTCAAAGGTAATCATTTCTCAGTCAACTTGTTTTGATTATCTTTCCAGTAGACCTGTTATATATTGAAATACATAGAGAATGAATGATTCCAGTTATTTCAAACCAACCTTCAGTTGTGAGTGACTTTTTTATTATTTAAAATAAATGTACAAGTATTTTTGTATATTTTTAATTTATTATTCCACTTAGAAAAATATTACATAGCTTACAGTAATAGGTTGTGATTGTAAAAGTTAAATTAAATAAGATTTAAATTTCTTTACAACATATCGTTTATTTAGGGGAGGATTCACAGCTATCAGAAAACCTGAACGATGCAATACTTTTATCCAGTAACGAAGAAATTTTATCAAAATCGAACGACGATATTTTTTATGACACAACGGAATTTTCTTTTTCATCGGACAACAATTTAAAAGCAACTGATATATCAAATATAAGTGAGGCAGAAGGATACAAGAGTTGCTCAGATTTATCAGTAAGCACTGATAGCACAAGTATGCTTTCCTTGCCTTGTCCAAAGTCCAATTTCAAGGACAATAATGTCCTTGCATTGTCACAGAATTCAAATAATTTAAAAGATCAACAAAACGTAAAAATATATGAAATAGATAAAAATGTTCCGTTAAGAGTAGAATTAAAACGTATGTTCAATGAAATTTTAGGGAAACATATGAAAGAATTAAGTACCTCTTGTTCAACTAATGAATCAGACAATTCAGTTGAAATAAACGATAATGATCCATTATATCAATTGTCAAAAGATGATGATCTTTGTCCAACATCTGAGAATATAAAAGATTCTAATATGGACAATATGTTGTCTTTGCATGATACATCAATCCATGTGTTAAACAAATGGTGTTCTAGGGATTTAGAAACTATTTTGGAACACTCCAATGAAAGCAGCAATACATCATTCCAGCAGAGCACCTCAAACTGGTCTGGGAAATGTATGAGTGAACTAAAAAATTTGTCTTTCCAAAAAATAAGCAAACATTGGATACATGATAAAATATTTATTACCAGTGATATTGGTGATAGTATATCCAGTGAAACTAATACCTCTACTGGCATTGAAGTGATAAGCAAGGAAATCTTTAGGGAACTGAATGATTTAAAAGAGAATGATTCATTTAATTCCACTTGCCACAATGAGAATTCACTTCATCCTAATGAGAAAATGATTATTACCAACAATATAAATAATGAAGAATATAACTTATTTAAGCATAAAGTACCTTCTATACTAATTACTCCAGCAACCCCGATCTAAGTTATTCATTTTGTAGCTTTTCTAATAATGTTGTAAAAATAAAAATACCGCATACCAATTATTTATTGACTTTTAAATGTTACTCCAAACGCAGATGAGGAATCGTCTGTTGTATATTCTTCAAAACAAACATTCCGCGCCGAAGTAAGTTTCTTATTGTTTGGTATTTACAAATATCAGAAAAAATGACATTCCCTCAAGCTCATCAAATTGAATTAATAGCACTGGCAGAATTAGCAGGAATTTCGGCAGTTCCAGGCGTTTACCGGTAATAGTTCAAAAAATACATTCGCATAACCTGTATCAATGCTTGAAGATTTCAGTAGCATAACCTTATATATCAGTGTTTCGATATTTTATGATAATAAATGTAACATAATGGACTGTCACGATTATTAATATATTGAAATTTATCAAACTTAAATAATTTATTGATATTAGAAACATTAACGATTTATATTTACAGCATCATATTGGAACTTTTAACACTTCAAATATCACCAGAAGATATATACATTCTTTTGAAGCAAATATGCCCAGAATTAACTGAAAAACAAGCCACTAATAATATTGAAGATATGCTTGACACAGCAACCTCAACTTAATACATATCTATAAGCTTAATTTAGAGTCATATTTGAAAATAAAAATGCACAAGTAATTATACTTTTATTTCTCATTATGTGTATTTTCACAGAACATATTAAACATTATAAATGTAAATTACATTGTAAACTTAAAACATATTACTTTCAAAATATAGAAATTTCACTTTATATCATATCTTACACAAGTAGTTTTAGTATTTCTGACAACCTGCCCTTGCTAATTTATCAGCCATTTCATTTCCATGGATTCCAACATGACCATTAACATGGTTCTGTAACAGTAAGGTCAATTGTTTTTCAAATAAAAATTAAATATTATTTTCAACATGTGAAATTAAAACAACCATTACTCTTACCCATGTTACATTTAAGGAACTAAGTGCCCTTTCCATTTCCAACAACTCAGTTTTATTTATAACAGGTTTATCAGTTGAAGTTTTCCATCCATTACGTTTCCATTTTGGCATCCAATCATTTATGCAAGAAATAAGAAACTGTGAATCTGTATTAATCTTCAAGTTCTTGATACCTGCTTTCTTTGCCTGCTGGCAAGCTGTAGTCACAGCTTGAATTTCTGCCATATTATTGGTTGCTCTACCATCAACAGGTCGTGATACATTTCTATAATTAATAGATTTGAATAAGATTTCTATACAATATTTAAAACTGAATGTAATTAAAATGTGTAAACATACAAGGGATGGTCATCACCAAACCAAACACCTATTCCTGCTTTTGCAGATTCACGACCATTTCCACTACATGCACCATCTGTATATACACTCACATATCCATCCTTGTCAGTAATATACTCCCCAGGTGCTCTCTATAAATACAAAAGTACAAAATCCATTAAAATTGTGCTGATTATATATATGATAAAAATACATACATTTACATCACGATCATTGCTGATAGGTGCTGAACATATTCTCCTTTTTGCTGACGTTTGTTCTGTTAAATATGGATTTTCATCAACAACTTTGAAATAGTCCCTTGGCTGTGATAGTGGTCTAATAAAAATTTTTAAATAATGTATATATTCTTTCTATTTATTACTATATCTTACTATACCTTTTAGTAAATGTAGGTGCATCTGATCTACCACCATATTTTGGCTCTGCATTTGCCCTTTCATTGATGAACGCTTCAGCTTCTGCTTTTGTGTGAAATTTTTTGAATGCACAGCCAGAAAAATTGTTTACTTGATCTTGACATTCATTCCTTATTTAACAGAAATAGAAAGTTTATATCAAACATAATTTAAACAGCTAATTCAAAAAGTCAACATTTATTACCAGGTATTATAAATTCCAACATTTCGACCTCTGGCAACAGCATAATAATTAAATGCCATGTTTTTCAATATATTTTGAGCTAAATATATTTGATTTAATCTCATTTATTATTAGTCTATGTAATCCCTACAACTTATGGGAAAACTTTTATAACATCACACTTCAAAATTTATACGAAATACAGAATATAGAATACAGTAGTAGTCTGTTGTTCAATTGAACTACAAATGAGCGTTGTTGTAACCGTTGTAACGTTCAATTTTTCATATTATATCAGCAGTGACCACAGATACAAGAAGAAGAAAGCGTCATTGTATCCAAGGCGGTCAGGATTATGGGGTCCCAGACACCCCAGGCGTATTAAAATCTGCATGCTGTTTCATCAAATCTGTCGGAGCGTGTACTTTGACAAATACAATATTATATATATATATAGGCAACTCATCTGGTGAGGTTAATAGTATTTAATATATTGTATTTAGTAAGATTCAACTTGTTACATTAAAATTTTTAATTTTTTTGTCATTATTGGGTTACGGTGCGGGGAAAGTTAGACACTTGTCACAGGCACTGTATGCTCTTGTTACGACACTGGAGTCACCGGTGCTTCGGGGTCCCTACCACCCCAAGATGATACCACGTCGGTATAGGTCATATCCATCACTATCTTGCAAAGACTATTTCGCGATCTGTTAAGTTTTTAGTTTCTATATCTTCCTATTTCCGGTCAAATCCATCGCTATCCTCTATTCACTAATTTGCGATTTGTTCGTTTTTAGGTCTTATATTTCGCTAGATCCAGTCATACCTATCACTATCTCGAACAAGTGAGTTTCACGATTTGTTCGTTTTTCGTTCTTATATTTCGCTAGATCCGGTCATACCCATCACTATCCCGAACAAGTGAGTTTCACGATTTGTTCGTTTTTCGTTCTTATATTTCGCTAGATCCGTTCAAACCCATCACTATTCCTAACAAGTGAGTTTCACGATTTGTTCGTTTTTAGGTCTTATATTTCGCTACTTACTTGGGGTCCCTTACACCCCAGATGCCATAATGTCGGTATGCAGAATCATCGGAGATTCGGGGTCCTTAGAACCCCGATGCAATATAATTTAGATATACAGAATCGTCGGTGCTTGGGGTCTTTAGAACCCCGAGACAATATAATTTAGGTATACAGAATCGTCGGTGCGCGGGGTCCTTAGAACCCCGAGACAATATTATTTAGATATACAGAATCGTCGGTGCTTGGGGTCTTTAGAACCCCGAGACAATATAATTTAGGTATACAGAATCATCGGTGCGCGGGGTCCTTAGAACCCCGCGACAATATTATTTAGATATACAGAATAGTCGGTGCTCGGGGTCCTTAGAACCCCAAGACAGTATAATTTCAGTATGCAGCATCCATGGTGCCTCGGGGTCCTTAGACCCCCGTAACGATAAAATTTTAGTAACCTACATGCAGCTAGCCGTAAGAAATTATAAAATATGATTATTTTTAATGTTTCTTAGTATATTTCGTTTGTAATTCTTTTGTAATTAACAATTTTATTTAAATCATAATGTGACCCGAAACATTTCAATAATATTTTATAATAAACAGATTTTGCGACAACAGATATCTGTATTTGATTAGAAATAATTTGTGATTTACAAATATATCATTTTTATTGTTTGTGAGTGAATAATTTCATAATTATTTACAAGTTTGTTGTATAATAAATAATTGTAATGCGCATGCGCTACAGATCCGGTCGTACCCATCACTACCTCGAACAAGAGAGTTTCACGATTTGTTCGTTTTTCGTTCTTATATTTCGCTAGATCCGCTCAAACCCATCACTATCCCGAACAAGAGAGTTTCACGATTTGTTCGTTTTTCGTTCTTATATTTCGCTAAATCCGCTCAAACCCATCACTATTCCGAACAAGTGAGTTTCACTATTTGTTCGTTTTTAGGTCTTATATTTCGCTACTTACTTGGGGTCCTTAGAACCCCGAGATATTATAATTTAGACATACAGAATCGTCGGTGCCTGGGGTCTTCAGAACCCCGAAACAATATAATTTAGATATACAGAATCATCGGTGCTAGGGGTCCTTAGAACCCCGACACAATATAATTTCGTTATACAAAATCGTTGGTACTCGGGGTTCTTAGAACCCCAAGACAGTATAATTTCGGTATACAGAATCGTCACTGCTTGGGGTCTTTAGAACCCCCATAGTATATAATTTAGGTATACAGAATCGTTGGTGCGCGGGGTCCTTAGAACCCCGAGACAACATTATTTAGATATACAGAATCGACGGTGCTTGGGGTCTTTAGAACCCCGAGACAATATAATTTAGGTATACAGAATCGTTGGTGCTCGGGGTTCTTAGAACCCCAAGACAGTATAGTTTAAGTATGCAGCATCCACAGTGCTTCGGGGTCCTCAGAACCCCGCGACGATAAAATTTTAGTAACCTACATGCAGCTAACCGTAAGGAATTATAAAATATGATTATTTTTAATGTTTCTTAGTGTATTTCGTTTGTAAATCGTTTGTAATTGATTGTGTGTCTATTTTTAACAATTGTAACAAATTAATTCTTTTGTAATTAGCAATTTTATTTAAATCATGATGTGAGCCGAAACATTTTAGTAATTTTTAATAACAAGCAGATTTTGTGACAACTGATAACTGTAATTGATTGGAAATCGTTTGTGATTTACAAATATATTATTTTCATTGTTTGTGAGTGAATAACATCTTAATTATTTACAAGTTTGTTTTATAATAAATAATTGTAGCTCCTTAATACCCGAATATGACATCAGGTCCGTATGAAGAGGGCACAATAAGTATAATTTTTTTTCAGAGTTTATTTAATTTACTTCATTTCTTTTTTTTTGCTTATTAAATAAGCTCATCGAAGGGGAATAACATTTACGATTATATCCCTCTTCTGAGTCTCAGCCGAAGACCCCATTTATTTTACTTCTTCCAGTTATTTATATAATTTTATCCCTCATTATAGGCCAAGGCCATCTCGGTAGTCCTTACATCCCTGCATTCCTTACATTCCTGCAACCCTTAAATATCATATTTTTTTTTTTTTTTTTTTAACGTGGTGGAAATCTTCAGAAAGACACCTTCAGCTCCCCTGGGGAGGGGCTGGAGGTAGTGTGGGATTTTTACCCACTAAAACCACCACGGTGGCCTGCACTAGGGCAGTAAGGAGGGTGCTTGGACACTTCGCCATGTGCCAAACTCCGTCGACATCGGGGGCCACACCCGATGCCGGCATTCCTCGGGCCGCGTGCAGTGGAGACCGGGGCCCCAGCCCCGAAACCCTCTGGAATTCCTTTACATCCCCCATTCCGTTATATTTCAGCATCCCTTACATCCCTGCATTCTTTTTATCCCTACATTCCTTCCATCCCTACATTCTTTTCATCTCTATATTCTTTTCATCCCTAAACTCCTTGCATATCTTCATCCCTTACATCCCTACATCCTTTTCATCCCTACATCCCTTACATCGCTTCATCCCTCACATCCCTACTTTCCATACATCACTTAATTCCTTATATCCCTATATTCTTTCCATCCCTACATTTCTTTCATCCCCACATTCTTTCCATCCCTACATTCCATACATCGCTTCATTCCTAATATCCCTACATTCCTTACATGTCTTTATCCCTTTCTCGCGAAATTCTCGAAAAAAGCGCCCCCTAGTGGCAAAAATGCGAACTAAAATTTCGATGTTGAATCAGCGCCATCTGGTTTTGGAAAAAGGCACTAAATCATGCTCAATTTTTGGCCCTCTAGCGGCAAAAATGTGAACTAAAATTTCGATGTCGAATCAGCGCCATCTGGTTTTGGAAAAAGGAACTAAATCATGCTCAATTTTTGGCCCTCTAGCGGCAAAAATGTGAACTAAAATTTCGATGTCGAATCAGCGCCATCTGGTTTTGGAAAAAGGAACTAAATCTTGTTCAATTTTTGGCCCTCTGGCGGCAAAAATGTGAACTAAAATTTCGATGTCGAATCAGCGCCATCTGGTTTTGGAAAATGGAACTAAATCCTGCTCAATTTTTGGCCCTCTGGCGGCAAAAATGCGAACTAAAATTTCGATGTCGAATCAGCGCCCCCTGGTGGTGAAAAAAGGAACTAACTTACCTTTACTTACCTTTACTTACCTTTGCTCGAATCAGTCTTTATAATATATTTATTATAAGGGATGCAGATATGTAAGGAATGTAGGGTGAAAGGAGTGTAGGGATGAAAGGAATGTAGGGATATAAGAGATGAAGAGATGTAAGGAATGTAGGGATATAAGGGATGAAGCGATGTATGTAATGTAGGGATATAAGGGATGAAGAGATGTAAGGAATGTAGGGATGGAAAGAATGTAGGGATGAAAGGAATGTAGGGATATAAGGGATGAAGAGATGTAAGGAATGCAGGCATGTAAGGAAAACAGGGATGTAAATGATGCAGGTGTATAAAGAATTTAGGAATGTAAAGAATACAAAAATATAAAGCATGTTGGGAAGGCAAAGATCTAGGAGATGCGCATGATATACAAGGGATGCGAAAGATACATTAAGAATACAAGGGATGCAAGTGTTGCGGGGGATACGCAAGGGACGTAAATTACATGAAGGGGATGCACAAAGAATGTAAGGGATATAAGAGATGCAAGGAATACACATGAGATGCAAGGGATGTTCAAGGTTTAGAAGGGGTATAGAAATACTCCTGTAAGCTCTGTGAGTCCCACTAATAACGCCATCTTGTAATGAGGTCCACTAAAAGGGCAAAAATAATAAATAATATGGATGTTACGCCAAGTTCCTTAAGAGGGATAAAATAATAAATATTATATCTTATGAGTGTATTCAGTGAGTTCAAAAAATGAGGCTACCGTTCTCTTAAACGGTTGCTAGAAGACTGAGTAATTTTCACCGCGCTCTAGGTCGAATGGTCGAATGGTACTTACCTGATCAGTCGTGAAATCTCGCGATATGATTTTTTACGTGGAACAGAATTATGAAGAGTGATGCAAAATTAATTAATATGTACACATATTTTCGAAAGTAGTAGGAATAAGTCGACTTTTTGTTACGGACTGAAAAGATCGCAATTTCTATAACAGCTGATGTACGGAAGTGAAAGAGTTATTATAACATTATTTACAATATGGCTAATTCAAAGGTAGGTACATATTTAAAAGATTTATAGTTCTTTTACCATACAAATTTTAATACGTAAGATGTAAGTTAATTGTCTTAGTTACTATATCTTTCAATAATTAAAACTTATCTTTGATTTTTATTAGAAGAATAGCAGCTGGCTGATGCCATCATTTGATTGTGAACCAGCCAAGAAATCACCAGCAACTAAACGTATTTTTTCACAAACACTGAAAAATGATATTTCACAAATTCCAAGTTTTTATGAAATAACTCTGAAGAAAAAAAATATAAGTAGTCTGACTGCTTTATTGGAAGCTTGTGAACCACGAAAATCTAATGAATTGGTTGTAAGTAAACAAAAACAGCAAGAAATTTTAGATTGGTTAAAATACAAAATAAAAAGAGGCCAACCCTATGCATTGATTTTGTGTGGTCCATCTGGTTGTGGTAAAACAGCAACAATTAAAGTTCTTGCCAAGGAAAATGGTTTTAATGTTACAGAGTGGATTACTCCTATTGATCAAGCTATGGATGAAAATAGTAATTTATCTTTTTCAAATGAATTTGCAAATAATTATTCTCATTTGGTAAATAGTTAAATAATTCTCAATTATTTTTCAGATAGAGTAATGAGACAAGGAGATAGATTTGAGGAATTTTTAGTTAGAGCTACAAGATATAGTTCAGTCTTGAGTAATCAATCTAAACGTTTACTTCTAGTTAAAGAGTTTCCAAATGTCTACTTTGAAGATAAAAATAGCTTCCATTCCCTTATACAGTAAGTAAAACTACTGATTTATATTTTTCATGTTGTTACCTTGATTATAATTGACTTTTACTTATAGAAGATACTTTGAATTTGGAAAGGAACCTATAATATTTATATGTACAGAAACAGGAAATTCAAAATTATTGCAAACATTATTTCCACCTGATATAAGACAAAAATATGGCATTGATCTAATCAAGTAAGTTCTTAAAAATTATTACATTTTATTTTAGCTTTTATTATTTGCATGTACTTATACCATTTATTTTTACAAATTTAGTATAAATCCTGTTACACAAACCGCGATGAAAAATGCGCTAAAACGAGTATCCAGTATTTTAAATTCTATTGCTGGGCAGATGTTGTGTGTTTCTCAAAGTAAAGTTGATGAGATACTATCAAATAGCATAGGAGATATTAGAAATTCGTTATTAAATCTTATTTTTATTTCGTTGAAAGGTAAGTAAGGTAATTATATCAGGTTTGACTTTGGAAAGTTATATTACTTTTTGTATTACAACAGTACCTGAAGAACAAGAAAACAACTGTAGCAGCAGAGAAGTAAACTTAGGACTACTTCATGGCATTGGACGAGTAATTAATCCTAAAAGTAAATATAGGTTTCTATAGTTGATAAAAGCGTAATACTTCTAATAAGGGTAGTTAATAATACAATGAAATTGATAGGAACCAAGGATGGAAATAGCTGGAAGTTTGTTCATAATCCTGATGAAGTAGCAGCTTTTTTTCAATCACAAGCAACAGTATTCTTGCATTTTCTTCAAGAAAATTATTTGAATACTATGAGAGGGATAGATGAAGTAAATGCTTGTGCAAATATTTTAAGCTTAGCAGATGCTTTAAATTCTGAATGGCGGGTATGCTAATTTCTGTACGAAATAAGCAAATTACATAAGACAAATTTTACTGAAGCTACTTTACATAATTTTCAGGATCCCAAATTAACTAAAGTTATTTTATCCTTCGCTGTTCGAGGTGTGATGGTATCTAATGAAAAGCCAGTTTCTGGATGGAATCCTGTTAGAAAGCCACTAAATGACCGACTTGATCAGTTAGTAAATATAGTAGTAGTATTATGCAATGCCAGCCGTATTGGCAAACTGTTAACATTTTACATCTTACATGTTTATAAATTACTGTTTATGTAGTGAATGGTATGAAAACATAATACAACATTGTTATTTTCATAGGACAAGATGTCTGGCAGCAGCCGAAGTTCGGTGGTACGAATCTATAATTAACTCAAAGTTAAAAAATACAACGGAAGTATCCAATTTAGATCTTGAATCAGTTATTGATGAGTAACACCACGAAAAGGGTTATAAATAGAGAAACTCTGATTTATTTATTATGCTTTATTTTCTACTATTATTATGTAAATGTAAATATATGATCAAAACTTGAACGATACTAATCTCATTAAAATTGTTTATAGTTTTTTAAGTGTTTGTATATATTGTTGAATAAAACATTTTACATTATTATTTGTCTCTCATTTAATACCTTAGAGCATATAACAAAAAGCAAATATTGGCGCAAATTACATTGATAGATACTATAAAAAAAATTCATTTTATATAATTTATACACTTTAAACAAAATCATTTTAATATAAATATTTCTATTGATAGTACTGTCCAATAACAAATTATTCCGATTTCCACCATGTACTTCTTATAGAGTTTCATTCGAATTTAAGTTTATTTAAAAATAAAAAAATTTACTTTCTTTAAAAACTAAGGCCGATGGATATCGAAACATTTTTAGACAGTGTAATTAGACTCTTGGCAGTTAAAAAGTAATTCATTAATTACGAGTTAGAGATACAACGATATTTCTAATTATAATTATAATAACGAGTATTTTATTAAAAATATACGAAGATCTTACAACCTATCTTGTCTTCATAAATAATTGTTAAAGATCACGCCTAACAAATTACAATATATTTGTACATCAATGTAAACTTTGTACGTATGCTAAAAATATCGTATAGCGTTATTTAGAAAATTCACGATGGGCTTAAATATTTCCTAGAAAAAATGCAGTAGCAAGCAGTCTTCCACTCCAAATACCTTAAATATCATTGTGTATCAAAAAACTATTTCAAATAATTTGTATATATAATGCAGTCTCACTGTTTTAAATATTTTACGAGAGAATCAGGACAATACACAGAAATTTGAGAAATACTAAGCCAAATAAAAGTCAATATTACATAACTTTAAATATACTATAAACATACTTGTAAAATGAAATGAAGGTATTTGTCTAGATGAAAGAAGAAGATTAAATATTCTTTCTCTAGTCTATCAGTATAAATAGAAATGATTGTTATGAGACCAAAATGAAATATTTACAAAAGTGGATTCGTTAATAGAAACTGTCGTAAAAACTACGCCTTTGAAAGATTCACTTCCTCTATCGTTGAAATAAGATTGTCCAGACCAAAGAGGAATCCCTCCTCGTGGTTGCCTTGTTCCCATGGCTCTCTGTGGGTCACCCTCTGGCCATTTGGTAACGACTGCGTCTTGGCGAAATCAATCAACCAAACGCCAACTTTGTCGTTGTCATAGATCATGAAGATACTGCTGCCAATTATCTGAAAATTAAGTTACATATATGATAAGTAGATATTTAAAGATCAAATACTATTTCTATTTATTAAATTACAATGTTATTTAAGTTACAAAATAAAAATAAACGTACTTCGTGAGTTTTGAAATATTCAGATGCCTCAATTTTGGCGCGGAGACTCTTCAGCCGTGCGAATAGTTTCACGCGGGTGGTTTCACGCGTTCCCAAGAACAGCTTCATGGTGTCAAGAACTTCCTGATGGGATTTTACTTTCTTCAAATCGGTAATCGGTGGTGCACCAGGTAACTTCATTGCCTCGATCCTGAATCCATGACTACAGGTCGAGCTCTGTTGTTCACGGAACTGCATGTACCGCAATTTTGTCACAGCACGTTGTTCGTGTTCCTGCTTCGTCGGCGCGTTTGGATCAACAGCGATCATTTTCTGGTAGAGATCCGGTCTCGCGATCGTCTTCGACACTTCGGATTCTAGGAACGTTCTTGTACCCATCTTGATATCCATCACGTGTGGATCGTTAAAGCCGAAGAGTAAATCCTGCAGTTCGATGAATGTCTCCCCTTTGTAATCCACTTCTCGGTAGTATCTATAAATATAATGGAAGCTTTAGGCACATATATTGGCATATGTGCTATTTGGAGATACTTTTATGTCATGAAATCGTCATAGAAATTTTACATTTCCAAACTGAAGATTTAATAACCCAATAATTTGATATAAAGTAGCTTAATAAATTGTTTATAGAAATGATTAACTAATTGGTAGAAGAAATAATTTTAATCAAGTTACTCTGTTTTATCTTTCATTTACCTTGGTATGCAGTCCCGTAGGTCTTTGTCTTTGCTGAGGGCTTCGTAAACGATCCTTTCAGTATTTTCTGCTCCCCCTGTTTTTCTCTTCCAAACAGTGCCGGGTCCAGCCGGAGCGAAACCGTCCGGGTGTCCCGACAACTGGAACCAGGATTTTAATCTGTTCTTTAGCAGAACATCACTGGCTGGTGCTGTTAAATCCAAGGCATTCTGAAAACAAAAATACAGAGACGTTAGATATAAGAAATTTGAAATATTTAAATAAAAATTTATCAAAATTTGGACAACAATTTATTTTGGAATTAAAGAAAAGAATACAATATTTATTAGATATAAATTTCTATATATGTAAATTTTTTGTTACATTATAATGTATTTCAAAGGCGCCAATCAGTTGTTTAAATAATAAATACCAATTTACTCATAAATATTTAATTTCAAAACGAATAACAAAAATGTCTTTATTATTACAAGAGAGTATACATATGATTACAAAGAGGAAGGACATTTTTAAAAGACCAGTACCAATGCTAGAAATTTTAACGAGAGGTCCTCGTCTGGCATAGTTGCGTCGGAGAGAACCAAAGGGAACTGTTCCATCTTCTGTATCGTTGCTGAATCATTGGGAAGTTTGGCAAGAGCCCTGGTGGAACTAGATCCAACACTGTTGGATCGATTCGAGCCCATGGATGTGCTCCTTCGCCACTGACGAAAGGCACTATAGGTGCTGCTTGCCGAAGCATCCTTCTGTCTTCGATGTTCCTTATGATTGGAATTATGGGTAGGTCTCGTTTGCTCCTTGCTCGAAGGCTGTAACCAAAGGAGACTACTAAGAATTCAATCCAACAAGGACCTCCTTTTCTTTTGTAATTAAGAATTCGATTATAATAAATAAAACTTAGTTTTATTATACTTTTTTCCATTGTTATTTATTACCTTAGTATAATTTTATTTCTTGTATACAGTTTGACTAGTAATTAACATGGGTTTCTTTAAAGGACGCATATGGTGTGTCATTGGTTTCTAACATCTTAACCTTTGTTTTTCAATATTGGGAATTCTCATTTAATTAAATGAGAAAAAATTAACGATAAGCCTACTTTTGTCTCGGTAGATTTAGGAAATATAAAATAATACAATATTTATATTATAGATACATTAATGAGTGCTATGCTTTTAAAAATAAAAGAATACTACAATTAACATGGCTAGAAGAAAGATGTGATACATCATTCATTAATGTAACTGACTAGTACTATGTCAAAGTAGCAATGAAAACCGCAAGAAATGCTGATGAAAATAAGTATCTTTTTCACGAGATCAAGAGATTTCTTCTTTCGTTTTTTCCAAGTGGCTGTTCCGTAACTTATGCGTTTCGTAATCGAACTGAATGCATGAATTAACTCGAGTGCATTTTACGTCAGCCAATCAAAAGCGAGGATAGTACGCTAAGAACAAAGTGCGCATGCGCGCATGTGGTCCAGCGCATGCAATAAATTGATAAGAATCATTTAATTGAGTTTAGTGAGCCGCGAGCGACTCGTGCTAATTGATGTATCACAGTTACACTTTAATCCGATTATAAATGTATCACGTGCGTTCCTTGGATTAAGTATTGGGAGAGAACAGCCATGATTAGGTCAATTGACAGTACGAAGCGCATAACGTTTGCATATGTGAATGCTAGAGGCATTAAGCGAACATTGTGCAGGAGGAGCACGTGTTTTTTGAAATATTACACAATCAATAGAGTTTATTTGTAGAAATATTTAAGCAGATTATAATATATGTTACTTTATTTAAAATTTTAGAGTTTATCAGAATGGTGTGTCTTCGGGAGACGAAATATTTCGTTTGGTTTTTAGGTTAAGTTACATCAGCTGAACTTCTGATCTTTAACCATTGCTCTGGAGATAGCTAAAACATTGAACTGAATAATCGCGGATTAAGGACTACTGATTTTGTTATAAATTATTATTAAACACACATTCGTGTATTAATTTAGAAATTGAATAATCTATCATCTAGTTCTGTACTACAAATCAATTTATTACATGCTGAAACGTACCACTAAAGAAGATAAATTCACACATTTTTTGTCCTGAAGAAATAATCTGTAATAAATTGATTTAAAAAGTGTTCATTTAAATTTAATCAACTTTTTTAGTTTTTGGAGGCTATTAATAATTTCAAAAATTGTGACCTTTTTTTAAAATATGATATTGTATTTATAATTTTAAATAAAAAATTATTCAATTCCATATTCCTGTTTTCTTTTTATTATGTTAAACGGTAATATTTTGAAATCCTTTAGACATCTTTCTCTTGTCGGAAAATTGAGTAAATTTTCCAATGCGATTGCAGCAATTATTCTGGACAGATTTTATGCAGCAGGCTATTGTACTTGGTAAAAGAAAACCTTCTAGGTCACAGACGAAAAAAACATCCTGCAGTTTCGTGTCGGTTTACAAAGCATCCAAGATATTTTACGTAAATAAGAAATCACCCATGCTTTCAACCTTTTACATTATAATATTGGGTCACGCTTGTCTCACAAATATATTGTACCAAAAATGTCAATTAAGCTCCCAGATATAATGTATATCATAAAGATAGAAGACATCGAATTAAGAATTTAAATAAATTACTCCAAGCACGGGTTCATCGTCCTCCACATATTAAAGATACATACTTTAAATCTATCTCTGATTGATATATTTTATATTAAATCTTGTTTTTGTATAAAATGATTTCTAGATCCCAAGAAATATTTCAGGAATCTAAAAGTACCGTGTCGTACGAACGATAATGGTCATCGTATTCGAAAATAAAGTCGTTATTATTATTATGGGCACGTTATTATCGCAGGTAAGCGTGCTTCGATGGCGATCAAGCAGGTGGTTTGGCGTGGAATTTGATTTTGCGATACGCCGTTCATTTTAATCCACTCGACAAGGTCCGAACGTGAGGACATCGCGAAATCAAGCTCGCGATTTCGTCTTGACGGTTAGTATTCATAAGGAAAAATTTCATACGTGAATGCCATGAGGGTCGTCGGTGAACAGCGCCACAAATTATATATGTAGATGCGAATAATTAACCCTAGAACGGCGGACCATGGAGAGAGGCCGAAATTTACAATGTTCTTTTAAAATTATACTTCCGATATATCAAAGTCTTTCGTTTAAAAGATATACAGTTATCTTTAAGTTAATATCAATTGGGTCACGATTGACCCAGACTCCGCCGTTCAGGTGTTAATTAAACAGGAAAGAATAATATTTGGAGTAGCATCACCAAAATGGTACGAAAGAGGTTTCAACACGGACAATTTTTCATTTTCACTATCACTCCGATTGTCTAATATCATATATGTCTACGTATTCGAGATAAATCAAAGTGAATCACTCCATAAGCAATTACAGGTGATACTTTTGCTATTGTTCAATCATGGTATACAACAACGTGGTTGTATATGGCTACGAGGAATCGGTGTCGCAAGAAGTATTGTCATAACGATAATTGCAACAATCGCAGACTAGACGAGACCGTATAACTGCGCAAAAACAGAAGGCTGAATGTTCGCATTCTACATATAACGGAGTACGTTTCTGTCTATTTGAACCTTCGGTTTTTTCCAGTGTGATTTTATGCTGTACATAGATAACTGGTAATGAGAATTCTTTTCTACTGTACAATTTATGTAATTTATTATTTAATATTTCATTATTTGTAACGATACGAATATTTATATTAAGAACAAAAGGAAAGTAGTCAGTTTGCACTTCGGACGTCAGTGAAAGTTTTCTCCAAGTTTCACCTTTAGACTGTGCTCTCTTTTGTGTATTAATTTGTGCATTCTCCTATTTAACTTTTTTATAACTATTTAATAAAAGGCTATTTATAACTATTTAATAATTTTTAAGGGACCAATGTAAAATTTAAAAAATGATAATAATATGAAATATAGAATGAAATTTGAATTGGGGCTCTCTCCATGGTCCATCGTCCGAGGGTTAATAACTAAATTAATTTACTCTAATTGGATCGAGCATTTATAAAAATCTGAACGCATGTTCTGTACATATAGAGAATAAATTAATTTATTCCAATTGGATTTTTGTACTATTGCAGGAAAATACTGGAAAAATACCATAGTACTACGAAAAAGAACATAAATAACAGCGAAAAGCAGAAAATTTCTTTGTTCAACACGATTAAAACAACAATGTATACGCACGTCTGCCACAGCCTTCGGACACACAGCAGGCAGAAGGAAAAAGAAGCGTGTAACTTACTCACTTTGCAAGTAGAGTCATATTTTACAGAGCATTGACGTCACTGGTGTATTCAGATTGCATTGTTACAGATAAGTTTCAATCGAGCACCGTTCCAGTTTTCACGTTTAACAACGAGCGCCAGGAGATAAGACAGATCCACTGTGCATCCCGTTCGATAAGTAATTTCAAGGGGAAAAATTGTTTTCCTTTCATAATCATTACATTTTTCTCTATTTATCGCAATATAAAACGAAAACACTTTAATTAATTTTCCAATCAATCCTTCGGTGACCGATGAGACATTAAGGTGCTGGATTAATTCAAACATTATCAATCGATTTCTGAGGAAACTTCAAATAAAAAATATTGTCACTGTTGTTTGAAAAATGTCAAATCCCAATTCACACCACTGGGTGATTAATGGATTCGAAGATCAAGAATACTTTTTATTCATTTAATTCTTGTCAAAGTAGAATAAACTACCTTAACTGTGTTCCTGACGAGAAATTCGCATTGTTCACGATAAAACGAACGACAAAATTTTCATCCAGATTGAATATCATCGTCCAATGACAATGACCACAGCTCGCGTGCGTCAATGCTTTGATAAAAATGCGAGCATGGCTTCTTGTTTGCTCAGCAACGGCATCAATTACACGGGGTGTTTGCGAAAGCTTCAGAAATGATTTCTATATTTAAAGTGAAAAAACTCGATTCGTATCCAAGATGTTCCAAATTTAAGTAGCAGTTGGAACGAGACAAAAATTTTCTATAAATTGTTAAATGTATTATTACTTTGAATAAAGTTTTCTAAAAACTTGTTGAACACCCGAAGTACATATATTATATGTTACACGAAGGAAGCTCGGTTGTTGAATCACGTTTTTCACAGTATCGTTCGCTAATTTTCGTCGGTCATGAATCACAGAGGAGACGAGCCTTTTTTTTTATTTCACACCTCGACGAATCGCATATGCGAAACAAGCAACGTCAACGTCGAGTAAGCAAGGGTTAGCGACGATTTGTATGCAGAGGAGCGATGGATAATTCGTGGTTGTTTTGCATTGTTAAGGTGGAGTTTGAAACTACTCAGGCGTGGATGGAAATTGTATTGTATTTATGGAGATGAAAATTGATTTTTATATGGTAGTAATTTGCATTTAAATTTTTCATCACGACTGTTAAATGTTTGCTTTAATTTATGGTAGTGATATAATTTATTCTGAGCGCTAATTTACAGCAAACTTTTAATTAATACAAAATCGAAGATGTTAATGTACTTATAAAATCATATCATTATTGACTATTCATTTCTTCGTATAAGAACTTGATTATTTATTAAAAAATAAAGAAATGACGTCTGAGTTTTCATACCGTGGAAAACAAGATCATAAAAATTGAAACAGCTGAAGTTTATTACACTAAACATGACTCTCACATTCGAACAGATAGTAAGACAAATAACATGATAATCGTATGCCATAGTGTGATAAGTTCTGATTAGTTAATAAAATTAATATTCGAATGTGTGGTAATAAAACGAGTGGAGTCATTTGCAAGACTTGTTCAAATGGAAAATTGTTTAAAGATAGAAATGGATAAAGAATAAACTCGATCAGGTGTTTAAAATGAAAAAAAAATAATCATCCATCATATGCATATTTTCCAATTAACTACTGCTATGAAATTAATTAATCAGCTGTGAATATATTAGATCCGCACATATCTTTATTTTGGACAGGCAATAAAATGTGACTCTTATAACAAGGAAATAATTACTGATTGTAAAGACTGAAATGAAAAATTCTCAACAATAATATATAAACATTCCAAGCAAGAAGACATTTACAATTAAATTTACAATTTATTCGTAACATTTTCTATGTTATAATAGCTTTCAACAATTGTGCTTTATTGATGTTAAAAGCATTCATTCGGCGGCAGTGTCTAATTTCCGTCATCGTGTAATTTACATGGAATTATACTTCTTTATTATCCTTTACGTAATCTTTCGTAGCACGATACTTTCGGTATTCTTTGGTTTCTTTTCAGAAACATCTGCAATCTTGCACAAGAAAAATTTCATTATCGAAAAATTTCCTGTGGTTATATGCATCGAATTCGCGGTGTCTCTCATGGTATTCAAAATGTGTAAATTTCACTTACAGAAAAGACGATAGAAAGTTAGCTTTCCAAATTCAAACGATACGGAAATTAAATGCCAGAACGACGTCAATTGCATGATGCATACACGCATACGAGTATACACAGCTTGTTGTCGTTTTAAGCAAATGAGGGTTCTAAAATGTCGACCAATGATCCCCTGTAAACGTGACCCCACAGGAAAAAAACAATTTATAAATCAAGCCTGATTTTATATTATCGTCGATCGAAAGTAATTTTATCACTTGTTTACACTCTTTTTCATTTTCTTTTTCTACAGTACAACGTCAACACATTAAAATTTATTATTCATTGAAAAAGCTTCTAAACATTTATAATTTCATTTGATTTTATAACAGTAGGCAGAAGTGAAAATTGAAAGTTCTTTTTTTTCCAGAAGAAAATTCAATGTTTCGTGTCCTGTTTAAATTGAGAATTCATAGAATCTTATGAATCATAAACACTCACGTGATTTTCATACGAAACATCATTTTTATAGGATATTTTATTCAATTTTCTCATTCATATCACACACCCACGCGGCGCATTAATGTTTGTACTCGTGATTGATGCCACTACGTTATGTAATCGAAGAAAAAACCACTTGTTTATCAATGAAAGTATTATCTGTACGAGCATCGAACTTCAAATGAATAATTATCAAAACACAATTTATCGTCAGTTTGAAAAGAAAATGTTTGAATCACCTACTTAAATTAAGCGATTAAAGTAGTATGAATGATTTATTTTATAATTTAATCACTCGTAACGTGATTAGTTCCTATTTCAATTATTGAAAATTTTCAATAAATAATTTTCGACATGAAATAATTAGTGAAATTGATAAGGTATCTGTTATTAGTAAACATAAAGCGCATGTGTAGCTTTTAATGAAGGAAATAATGAAGTTTAAAAGGTGTTCGATATCTGCAGATAAAATTACTAACAACTGCAATGCAACATGTGGATAATAATTACTTAATAAATTACACAATCGCAATTCCTGTCAACACCCTGATATAGTCACTTAAATGAAATAAAATGTAGAATTGATAAGCTGACTCGATTTTATTATTTTTAAGTTATATTAATTTGAAACGATCCCAATCTGAATAATTAAAATTATAGCAAACACTTGAAGTGTTAAAAAATAATTAAAAATCTAATCACTACCTTACTATCTTAAATAATATTCTTTCAATTTAAATAGCAACACCAGATATCTAATCAACATTATTTAATATCTTCCCACTTCACTTCTTAGAGGATCATCATTTAATCTTAAGATCACTGATAAATTACCTTTCCACGCTGTGTTTATCGTCGATTATTTTTCTTGCTTAGTGTAAACATTTCCAAATGTTACAAAGTTTATCGCAAAGCATCCAGAAGTATTAAGAATTTAAAATATTCGAAGATCCATCATTTTCCTAATGAATTAAAATTCCTCTGGATAAATTAATGTTTCTCAGAGCAAATTCATTTACAGACACGCACTCGGACATAGAAATGATTACCATCATCGGTGTTTATAAACAGTTAAATCGCTAAGCAGTAGAAGGTCGTACTAAAAATACTCAGCAATCTACGCGCCTCTACGTATCTAATTACTGCTTAATTAACATAAATAGCTCGATGAAAAACAATCGTTCGTGTGTTTACCATTGACGTAAATAGGTAGGGGGTCAGAGTGGACCTGGACCACCCAACAGGTAGACTAATTACCCTACCAAAAATTATTGGAATAAGTAAAAATAACATTAATCAATTTATAATTGATGTGAAATTTGATTACACATAAACAGGTAAGAGTTTAAGTTAGGGGATTCCGATCACCTCAGACAAGGATCCTAGATACGTCAATGATGTTTACCCAAAATGATCCTTAATTGAAAGCTTTTAGTCTGAAATAGATGTTTCGATTAGAATCTTGTTTAATTTTTTTCTTTTTTGAAATCTATGTGTTTACTTGTTTTCGAAAGGAACCGACATTTTTCAACACTTTCGATCATTGAGATTTTCACAAGGATACTTTCATCTCATTGCTATTCCATCTTCCTGTTGAACGAGTGACCCATGGACCACGTGAGACCAGTTTTTTAATAGTCTACCAGTGTCTCAGGAGATCATTGGTCTCCAAAATAATTCTTTTTGTTTGGTTCCTTATTGATGATCGTTTTCGAAGAATTTCAGAGAATTTACGAAGATACTTATGTAATCGATGTGGTATTTTATTAATTTTTTTGTTGTTGCGAAAACTGTTCCCTACAATTTAGGGAAAATCTACAATTTTTCCTGAGAAAGCTTTATTTGTTCGCGAATGTACTTGGATGATTCTATTACGTACAACTACTGTTAGTTTGAATAGACTGATATTTAAATAGTTTCTAGATAAGATTCATTCAGAACGATCGTACGGTGAAATGTTATTTCGCGTCCTTTCTCATTTTAATTTTAAATCAATCCTATCCAATTCTGTATTATCCATATAACAAGCATATTTTGAAGCTTCCCGATACTTATCGCTGTGCGAATTAAACAGGATATGTAAATTATACTGAACTTTTCAGAACACTGATAATCCCCACAAAAAAACGTGTAACCATAATTATATATTCGCTGATATATAATTATGGAAGATAAGATCAATATATCATTCAACATAGCTATTATGAAACACTTAACACCTTAAATCAGTATTTAATCATTTTATTATAATCTTTGTATAGATAAGATTATAATACAATCTTTTTTTATAAGATTATTGCATATCGTATTTTGAAATTTGGAACATCTAAAGTCTAGCATGATTTGATGATAAAAGTATTCCTAAATAGCATGACACAACCTATACCTGCAATGATTGACCCTTTTCGGCGGACCATGGAGAAAGTCACAACTCCAATTTAATTCTGTACTTCATATTATTTTCATTTTCTAAATTTTACACTAAAACGCTTTATATTATATTTTCTTTTTTTTAAGGAAAAGGGTCAATTATTATATAGGGATGAATAATTATATACATTACCCTGTATTAATTAAAAGCTCAAGATCTAATGAGGATGACTGCATAAGGATTTTATTTGAAATAATTCATTTGACTCGTACATTTTATTTAGTAAAGTTTTCGGCTATGAATGATGAAATATTATCGTGACCCACTGTATGCCCCACAAATCCTATTTTAGCAGCAGCAACAAGCATATCTATACTAAAAACTGTGTCACACTATGCCTCTAGCTATTTCTCAATCTTGTATCAGGATGCAGTAATGACGCGTTAATATCGTGTCTTTGAAAGAGGTCGATTTAATTCATGGTGATTTAAAACGGTTTATGTTACGAGTTTAAAAACCCAGCTATTTAATGAAGTAAAAAAAAGAAAAAAAAAGAAAGATTAAGATGTACCATGCAATAATTGACATCCTAAGCTAGATTTTAATATTCTGCAAATAGAAATGTATTTCATAATTTGCATATCTCTACGTTATTTTTTGTTCTGATTTGGAAGATATACTGATATCATATTTTTTCTTTTTTTTAATTTTAATAACGTTGTTTGTAATAGAAAATTTATGGACTCGTTGCTGGTGAACTGACGCTAGAATTTTAATGCGAGATTAAACGAGCACAGAATTACATTTGTTAATATTAATAACTGACGCATTCTGCTTGCACGTATTATTATGTAAATTCATTCGAAAACATCGTAAAATCCGTAGGTAAATGTATTCAAAAATGATTGAAAATAAATAATTGTTTCCATCTGAATATCAGTTGCACCACATTTAACGCGTTCAATGCAACAATTATCTCCTACATCTCAATTCCCAATTAAAATTTATTTTATAAATTTTGTTTTCTAGCTGTTAATCTTTATTCACAGCACATTTGTTCTAAAACTGCAAAGTCAAACAATTTTATCTTTTGGATGAATTTACGAGGCAAACAAGTTTTAAAAACAAAGAGGTTACTCGAAGAAAAAAATAAACAATGTTCCACCGAGAAAATATTATTTCTAAGAAAAACATGGTATATTTC